AAGCTACTGTTTCACAAACATTTTGAATACATTATTTCAAAAATATCCAAAAAGATAAATTACTTCTATAGAGTTTCCTATAATCTTAGTATGTATTCCAAGAAAATTGTGTATAACACTATAATTCTTCCCCATTTTTTATATTGTTCAACCATCTTGTTTACAGCAAATGAAAACATATTTTCAAAATTACAAATTCTACAAAATAAAGCTATGAGAATCATTTTAAATAAAAACAAATATACTAGGATTAAGTCTATGTTAGAAGAACTGCAGTGGTTGGGTGTGGAAAATTTCATATATTATTTTGTTCTCGTTTTCATTTTCAAATTAAAAAATCATTTATTACCACCACATTTAGAGAACTTCACAAAATTAAATAGTCATTATCATAACTACGAAACTAGAGGCACTATAGATTTTCATCTGCAAAATTGTAATAGTAGCATAACAAGTAAATCTATATTTCAAAAGGGAGTATTTGAATTTAATAAATTGAATAATGATATTAAATAAAGTTCGAATTCAAAAATGTTTAAGGTGAAATTAAAAAATCACTTTATGAATAATCAAAATACATAGTGACGTAATTTTAATTGACAAGAATGTAAAATTACAGAAAATGGATTGTTGAAAATATGTAACCGAATCATTATACAACATTGACATTGTAGCATTAATGTTAAATAAATCTTCAACAACAACAAGCATCTGGGAGCCACATGTAAATTTTCAGACCATTATAAATTATTGAGTCTTTCACAAGTGCTGATTTGGGTACTACTAAATTAAGATCTTGTTCTCGTCTAATATCGTAACTTATATTTAGTGTTTCAAATTTAAATGTATTTTTAAGATACAGTCATTATTGATGACAAAGCTAACTTAAAACTAACTATAACATAATTACATTTGAGTTCACAGCGGAATGTCTTAAATTGTTATTTCTTTTGGTAGCATCAGGGAGCCACATGTAAATTTTCAGATCATTATAAATTATTGAGTCTTTCACAAGTGCTGATTTAGGTACTTCTAATTTAAGATCTTGTTTTCGTCTAATATGATATTATTTAGTTTTTCAAATTTAAAATTATTACAAGAATAAGGGTTGCTGTTTCTAAAATGAAAAATGATACGAGGAGATAGTTATAGACTAAATGACATAGAAAATGCAACACCGAATAGGAGTGCTGTAATTTTGAGCATACTTTCACAAGTTTCAGGTCTACTAAATAGAAAGTGAATAAACTCGAAATTTCGAAAAATAGATGAGATATCCCACCTTAAAGTTAATAATGTGTTGAAACTCTTCTGTTCGTCAGACATTCTTTAAGTGGTCACGGTATTGATTGGATTAGGTGATTGATGTCTTCTTGGTGTGTTGTATCCCAGGCCATCTGAATTTCGTTTCGTAGAGCGTCTAATGTTTGTGGAGGGTGCGGTGAATTTTGCAACATTCTTCCCATCATGTCCCATACATGTTCGATGGGGGAAAGAGGTCTGCTGATCGAAGAGACTACTGAAGCAGATTTACTCCGGACGCCTCTAAAAAGTCTAAACTAACATGTGCGACGTGATGTCGTGCATTGTCCTGCTGAAAAAGTGGATCTTGCAATGTTTCCAAAACTGGAAGCAGATGTGGTTGTAAAACTTCGTGGATATAGCGCTGGACAGTCATGCTACCTCGAATGAATACTAATCGTGACCTGCTGCTGTAAGCAATGGCATCCCATACCGTAACACTCGCAGTGCGATGATTATGCCGTTCGATGGAATATCTCTTTCACCATGTCTCCTCCTCATTCTTGCACGGCCATCATGTGTGACCAGAGTTCCATTCCATAATCCATTCAAGTCTCACCCTACTCCATACCAAAATGCTGCCAACGATTCTGTGGGGTCAGAGGTAGTTCAAGATGGGGACGGTATGAAAACAATCCAAATGATCTTATTCGGCTATAAACTTGTTATTGCTCTTTCGACAGCATCCAACCACTGGTTCGCAATTGCCCTTGGTGTGGAAAATCGATCTCTTAGTGCTAGTTGCCCGTCTTTGACGTCTAATACCTTTAACGAATTCAAGGTATGATAATGCAATGAAACAAATGGAACCAATACAGAAAAATCACTGAATATTAAGTAAACATGTTCATATTGTTCGGATCTTGATATGACAAAAAAGCCTTTTTTTCAAAAAAGATACGGCTCGAAATGCCTTCAACATTTTGTCAGCGTATACTTCCATGATAGCAAGTATATTTACAAGTTTTTCTCAAATTTCAATAAATGATTCATCTTATATGTCACTTAGTATATATCTAAGAGTTCGTTTTTTGGACAATTTTGGGACCAAAGGGGAATGCTATATCTCAATCTACTTTCAAATAATAGGGTAAAGGGTTGCACTTCAGAACGGCTTTTCACTTAATTGTGAATCTTTGTACACATTCAAACGCAAAGATTTTATGAGAAGGTACCGCGGATGTTCAGACGTCGGATACGTCCAGTGTTGCCGAATCTACTGATTTTTCGGTATTTTATTTACCGAAATACCGGAAACGTGCTCATTTTCTACGATTTGTTAAAATAATTCAGATATTTCCAGATATTTTACCGACAAAGAACTGCAACCAAAAATAAAGCTAGAAAATGAATTCGATGCAGTAGACAGTTGTATGCCCTTATTATACCAATCAGACATATGCATACAGTCAGGCAGTTGGTCACGAGCGGTAGATTTGGATTGCCTATAATTATGTAGGCAAGTCTCTTACTCTGTGTTATTTTTTGTGCCTACAACAGGTACATACTGGTACCGACATTACCGGACAAGCAATATGGAAACCAAAGCTTGTCTGTTTTTAATTCAATGTTAAATTAAAGTGTCAGATGATGAAGCCTGATGTTCAGAGATAAAACAAAAATATTCAGGCTCTTATAAACAAAAATTTGAAAACGAGCTTGGAGGATGGTTGCAAATGAGTTTTAAGTGCGGCCAGTGTGCTCATCGTACATGTGATAACGACGTTAATATTATTATCAGGAAATGTTGCCCCCAAAAAACGTGTTGAGTGTACGCGCGCAATAAAAAAATACTTTTTTACATAAGCGACGCTGCGTAAGACAAATGTCCTTGATCCACCTCTGACTTTGAATCTACGGAATTTGAACGACTCTATCATCTTTTTCGGTTCGGCAACACTGGATACGTCATTCTGCTCAAATTATTTGTTATAGTCGAAATCACGAAAGATGACGATTACGTCATCATTTTAGTCTGTAGTAAAGACAAACGTCAGCGATTTGTGAATATTTTTAATGAAGTTTCAGATACGTTAGACAGAGACAAACAGAATTTTATTGTCTAAACAAGCTGTATTGCTAATTTACATGTATCCGATAAAGATAGACGATATTTTCATGTTGCATGATCGATCATATTTGAAAGATGAATAGTTAGGTTATGTTAAAGCAGGTTAGGTTGTTTTCGAATAATACTTTTTTATTTGGTGCTCCTGTCAATGTATTCTACTCATAACTGTTTTTTTTTCATAACAAAAACTCCCCACTAAAATTATTATTAAGGTGTTACTCAAAACCATGAAATAAAATGAAAATAAAAATAATCAGTGAAATAACCTAACTTCGCAAAATCGTAATATAAATGTGTCATTATTTTCCTGACATCGTGATTTTATCATCGACGTACGTCCATTGATTACTTCAGTACAATGTATGGTATGACATAATAGTCATCTTTCGTGATTCTGACTATAGAAGTATTATAATACCAGAACCAGAATACCAGATAATACGGATAAGAGTTTTGTGTGGCATGTTAAATTGTAGTGGCAAATTTACGCAACGATTTCTGCAACTTTTGTTGTTGTTGTCAAAATAAGTGATTAAGGAAAGCGACCCGCTGTCTAAGTTGAGCAGTTTACATGCGTTTTGAAATATTTAAATACAAAAATTTCGTAGATGCGATCAACTTAAAATTTAAGTTATATGTAGCGTCTAAAAATCCCCTTATGGACCCCGGCTTGTTGAAGGAAATTCGCCATATCGTTTCTGAATCACAACATTACTAAGAAACTGAGAGCATTTGGATCTTGAAATATTATGCAAGAAATTTGATGAAGCGGTTGTTTTTGTTGGCATTCGAGCGTTTCGTACAGTCTGTGGAAACCAAAAGCGAGCCAATTTTGGCCTAACAGACAAGGTTAAAAATCAATCAAAAATAAGAATTATTAACCCAGTTTTTAAGCATTGAATCCATTTCTAGGGATTTTCAGGTCAGTTTTAGAGAATAGTTAATGGCCCTTTTTGTTAGGGATGATTAAAAAAACCGAAAAAAATGTATCCGGGCAAAAATATGTGATTTATTTAAAAGAACTGCTTATACAAATTTGATCTGGGTTACCCTGAGGGTATATTCACTGTTTAAAAATTTGGTTAAAAATCGTAATTTTTGCCATGTATCTAAAGTTAAAACCTTGCTCTACAAGAGCTTTGAAAGTATTTCGAGATTTTTTTTAAAACGATTTTAACCTTGCTTTTCAGACCCAAATTGCCGAACTTTTGTTTTTCGCAGACTGTACAGTTCCATTTGGTTGCTACTAGGCGTGGTGTTTGTAGTGGTACGGCCTGCGGTTGGGAAGAAATTTTCTCTCCGACTATCGCAGTAAAAACATTTTAAGGCGAGGTTTATAAAGTTTACAATGTGCGTGTCACGTAATGTATGGTGTCAATTGAAAATTATCTTTTAACTTCTGCGCTTCTAACTTGATCGGGATCGATCTGTAAGTGGGGGAGAAAACGCACCAGTTCCACGAGTTTTGGAAGATTAGTTACTAGAGCTCGCTTAGATTATCTACAATCTAATGTGTCATTTGGTTCCTCATTGTGTGCACAAAGCCAAAGGCATTATCGTGTAACGTATCTCGGCTGAAATTAAACTTGATATAGGCATGCGACATACTATATGCTGGTGTACTTACGAACTTAGCGAGACACGTGATAGTCTCCACCCTCTTGTTGTCGTTTAGGTGAAGCCTAAAGAAACCCTGTTTGGACAGATTCCTGCAGTTCCCTGTTATCAATACTTGGCCCTAAAAAATAAACTTGTGTTCTTATACTGTGATTATGTGTATCCTAAAGGCACGCGTCTACAGATCTGCAACTATTCAGATCCGAGCCGATGACGTCATACGGATTTTTTGCATTTTAACAGTCATCCTATGTACTCGTAGACGAACATCTGCATTCTACCGAAAATCCGATTTCTTCGGATACGGTGGCTGCACTAACAGACGTGGATATCTGAATATAGAGCTCGTCCGTCTAGCTGAGTAGACGTATTTGTTGCTGCTGTTTCTTATTATCTACTAGAATGTATTTTTTGAGATCGAATAAACCCGATATTAGAGTTGATGGTGCATGTGAAGTCGACATGAGCAGTGGCTACACGGGACTTTTCCTAAACTGTTACCAAAACCAGATGTGAAAGATCTTATTAAAAAAAGTTTATTTTGAACCTCTCAAATATAAGTTTTTGCTTATCTTAGGTATTTTATTTAAACTATTTTTAAATTAAGGTAAACATTACTGGACTGAGCGTCTGGAGCACTTGATATACCTCATCGTCTTATGCTACGTCCGAAAAAACAGTCGACGTTTCTAGAGTCGGAAAATTTTTGATCTTTTTTTCCTCTATTGTCAGAGTATCCCCTTCAAAATGAATGGTAACTCCTGTTTTGCCAAAAAATATACGGTATCTAGAAGTCTGCTGCCTAAAAGCTTGGTTAAGACAACTTTCGATTCTTGTTTTGTCAAACTGAATTAAATTGGCTACACATCTCACATGTAACGGAGAAATTTCATGTCTCCTCTTTAGAGCCCTAAAACTATTTAAATCGTTGACTCCGCTGCTGGTCCACTCATTTTTTTATGTATGAGACATCGCCAACAACAGAATCTGTTTTTTTGCAACCACATAACCAGTTTCCATATACCAACTTAATTTAAAATATCAAACTACGTTTTTTCAATCCTTCTTAAAATTATTTAAAATAGGTGTTGGTCTTCCATCTTCAATGATCTCCTTTTTTTTCTTAAAAATTATGCAAGGAGAATGACTTTTCAAGTAGTTGATCGATTACGCAGCGACACTCATTAATGTTTCATTGCATGCATACTACAGCCGGTAACAAAAACGGCTACGAACGAATAAGAAGTGAGTAACCAAATCAAAAAATGGTAACAAGCCCACATAATAGTCGCAGCGTCCCACTCACTCGGACGCCGGCGATCAGACACGAGCCGGCACCGCAGGTCCCCGACGGACTACCAAGTGTATCCATTAATGAAAATGGTATCAACCGACAACCAAGTCAGCTTCATCGTGTTCGCAAAACCTAGACACTATGGGTCGCATTATTTTCGTGGGGCTAATTTGCTATTTACTGAATTACTACTACATATGGCTGTTGGTAAACAAATAAATGAAGTTATTTCACAGTACTTAGTCATAAACTATTTATTTTTAAGATATTTAACTGTTACCAATGCTAACAATGGTTACATGGACGCTTCGCCACTGGACATGAGTGAAATATTAAACAGTGACGTGATTAAAAGTGCATTCAGCGAAGCTATACGTTCTGCGATGAGTGTGGTGGTCGCAAAAATGAAGGATTTGCATGAAGAGGTGGTGATGCTGCGCGAGTCAAATCTGGAGTTAATCAACCTACTGCTGACAAATAAAGGTGCTATGCATAATATGACACATCCGAATAATCAAGTTGATCACAACAAAACATCTGTTAATTGTAACGCTGAAGAAACTAAATATCCAGTAGGGAACAAAAACAAAAACGATTCATCACAAAAAACTAGCAACTATAAAAGAGACAAACCAGAGCAAAAGCAACTAGAAACAAACAGCAAACACGTTCCTCGTTCAAGAACACAATATAAAACGAAAGAGTTCATTGACACTGGAACCAAAAAGATTGTAAATAAACAGATAGCTGATAAAAGTAATATTATATATTTTTGGGACAAGATCATCTGATGCATTTACCATATCTGCAATCAAACGAAAATCTTGGATACATGTTGGAAGAATCTCGCAGGGGATTGGCGTTGCTGGCATAAAGCAACATACTTGTATGCAAATGTTTTTTGCCAACACTAACTTTGAAATTGAAATGCTTCCTAAACGGAAGAATAGTCTAACTGAATCGTTTAAAATAAAAGTCGACTCTCCTGTTAGAGAAATTGTTTCTGATAGTAGCAAATTTTCCGGAAGGTACGCTAATAAAACCATACAAGTTATTTCGTACAGATGACAATTGAAGAGCATGAAACTGCTGACAACCGCAAGAGCCAGGAATACAACGATTGTGCGGACGACAAGTTGAGTATCTTCAACATAAACATTCAAAGTTTATTTAATAAAATGGACCGATTAGAATATTTTTTGGATTACAATAGTATTGATGTGTTACTTTTATCAGAGCATTGACTTGACAATTATCATATTCAGAACCTTGGTCTTGGAAGCTTCAGTCTGGTAAGTTGTTTTGCACGCACTAATCGTATACATGGGGGCACGGAAATATTTTCCGGAGGAAATGTCTTACATCTGTGTGTTCCAATCCAGTACCTAAACAGCCTTTCTCTAGAAATGGTTATTGAGGTCAGTGCAGTATCTTTTATGAAAATATATTGCATATTCTGTATCTACAGACTCCCGCAACTCAATAAGAGTTCTATTGACATATTCTATTGTCTCGTTTGCGACAAGTAACTTCAAATAAGTAATTTTGGCAGGCGACTTGAACATAGATTATTCTGGAAATGATATTTCAAAAAGATTACTAGGCGATCTGCTTGGATCATTTGAGCTTGAGCTCATATAACTGAGTATACTCAGACCATACCGGACAATTTATTTTTTGTAGCATATATCATACCATGAATACCACTGAACACCCAACTGCACGTGTAATTAGAAATTTGAACTACAATTCATTGAGGGAATTTCGCTATTTATTACTGAAGCATGGGTTTGGTGACATTCAAAAGTGTAACGTGCTTGTGGTCTTTCGACATAGCCTTTAAACGTAAAATTGTTCATAATGAGCGATACAACACTACTCATTTCTCTAAGTCACTTCAACAAAAAATACATCAATTGAATAACCTAGCATGGCTACGTAAAGAGATTCAAGATTCTGATTTGGAAACAAAATTTAAATCTTAAAAAAAAAGAGGTTGATAAGGATATTCCTCATGAAAGGATTCGTTACTATCACTCCATAATAAGCAAATCTTCAAACAAACAGAAAACTACTTGGAATATTGTCAATTCAATAAAAGGTAAACAAAAAAATGCAGTTATCATAGAATTAGTCTCCGATAACGTAACTATAACCAACCCTACTGATATCGCCAACTTTTTTGGAAAATATGTATTCACTGTAATTGGCAAGAAAATGGCCAACAATTTTACCATTTTGTCGGATTGCTGCACTACTGGTGAAACAGCCAAATAATAAATGTTTTTCACCCATTTCATTGCTGACGATGCTGTATTTGTGATAAGTAATCTATTTAGTAAAACAGAACATACATAGATATCTTTGCCCCAGGATTAGCAGACATCATTAATGAATCGGTTGCTGTTGGTAAATTTCCAACAGCTGTTAAACTGGCATAGTTAATTATGATATTTAAAAAATGTGAAAATTGTGATGTTGAAAACTCTAGGCCAATCGCGCTATTAAGTATTTTCTCGAAAATCATTGAAAAAGTGGTTGCAATGAAAATTGAAAATTACTTTCTTAAATTTGCTATTATCACATATGCTCAACATGGTTTTAGGGAAGGCTACTCAACTGAAACAAGCATCATCGAGTATGTTCAGTTTGTTTGGGATAAACTTGATTTAGGTAATTACGTAGTGAGTATCCAATTTGACATGTCTCAGGCCTTTGATTGTGTAAGTTCGTCATTTGTAGCCGATACACTTCATCATGTCGGCATTCGTGGATGTTTGATTCAATGAATAGTTAGCTTTTTAGAGAATAGAAAATTTTATGTCACTGTCGCTGATAAAAAATCTGATGAATTCAATTTATATTGGGGCACACCTCAAGGCAGCGTCCTTGGACCACTTATTTTCTCCATTTTTATAAATGATTTGCCTGTACACTTATCCTACGGAAAATTACTTTGTATGCAGACGACACAAATATCATTTTAGCTCATCGCAAGATCGTCTTCAAGAAAAAATTAATGATTCGGTTAATGAGATCCGTCAATGGTGCTTCAGAAACAGACTAATAATGAATACAAAAAAGACCGTTTCAGTTGAATATTTTATGAAGGCAAAAATTCGGTCAAATTTTAATTTCAGTCTTCAATGCAAGACAGTTGTAACGTCCAAAAAAACTGTTTTTTTTAAGTGTAAGCTTTGATTACAATTTAAGATGGACAGAGCAAATTGATTCCGTATGTAAGAAGCTTGGAAAAGTCTGTATCTAATACGCTAGGGAGGATGTTAAACACCTCAGCATTAATGGATGTCTACTATGCGTGTGTACACTCTGTTATTTCATATGGCATTACTGCTTGGGGTCAGGGTAGTGAAATTTCTAGTGTTTGTCTTGCAAAAAAGAATCATTCGCATTATATTTAAAATACGGTCCAGATCTTCTTGTCGTGAGATATTTGTTAAACACAAAATACTTACAGTGGCATGTACATATCTTTATAAACTTTTAACATATATTTTACAGCACAGAAAAGATTATCTTAAGCATACTGACCTCCATGAATACAGCACTCGTAATAAAAATAATATAGGTAGGCATGTGTCGTATCATACGTTTCATTCAAAATCTCCCATAACAGCAGGAATATACTTTTTCAACTTATTACCTCCGGAGATCAAAAACGTAAACTCCATAGGGCTTTTCAAAAGACGTTTGCGGAACAAGCTATCGAACTGCGGTTTTTATGACCTAGGTGAATTTGTCACATTCCACAGTGCTGCTGATAGATCTTAATAAATAATTTATTGTCATGTGTGTATCATATTGTTTTTTTATGTTCCTATTGTTATATTTGTATTTTACTTCATTTTATCTATATTTTAATTTGTACACACCGACTTATCCAATGTCCACAATGTAGATCTAACTGGATCAATAAGTGAATCTGAATCTGAATCATTCATAAAAAGATGTATACAGGGTGTCTAATAAGTACCACGACAAACTTAAGGAGAAGGTAGGCTTTGGATTGACCTCCCAAATAACAAAAAGTTACCTATATAAAAATTTCACCGTTTTTGAGATATTGAATTTTTTCTTAAATTTAAAAAAACGAACCTTTTCATCTGTGGTCTTTAGCTGCATGTACAAATAAGCTTATAATTTGTTCATTTTTTCTAAAAAATATTTGTAGATTGTTGCTTTAACATATACAAATGGAATGTAGTTAAAAGATATTAAGGAACCATGATAAAATAAGGACTGTTTTGGGATTCATAACCTTCTGATATTGTTTCCTCAACTTCCATAAAATCATATCAGGAGCAGGTAATAAAAATGTAGCTTTGTACTATTTAGCATGTCACTGATCGGTGACCTGTGCAACTTGAATTTAAATCCAATAATTACATTGTAGTGTGTGTCAGTCACTTACAAAAGCAGCTATCAACTTTTTTCTATTCCAAATATGTTGTACGTGTGGTGCCTTTCTGTATTCAATGAGCAATCTTTTTATTCAATATAATGCAGTTATAGCCCAGTACATTTTTGTTTTACCACAGATGGTCAAAGTTGCGGAAAAAATATCAGAAAGTTATATAGTAAATCCCAAAATAGTCCTTATTTGATCATGGTTCCTTAATCTTTTAACTACATTGCATTTGTATATGATAAAGCAAATACCTAGAAGTATTTTATTGAAAAAATTAGCAAAGTATAACCTTATTTGTACATGCAGCTAAATACCACAGATGAAAAGGTTCGTTTTGTTAAAATTTAAGAAAAAATTCAATATCTCAAAAATATTTACACTTTTATATAGGTAAGATTTTGTTATTTGGGAGGTCAGTCCAAGTTCATATAAAAATGTGTCCAAAAAAGTCTGGTTTCCAAAATTTTAATATGAACAGAGAAAAAATAATAAACTGTCACTGAAAGTAAAAAAGATGTCCCCAATACCAGAACAACACTCCTTTGCAACTATATGATTTGATGTTTTAGTAATTTTCGAAATGTAATGAAGTTGTTATTTTTTCCTCGCAAACGAAGTAAGATACAAAGAGATATCAAGAAAAAAAGTTAAATGATTAGTTGCTTGATCCAAAAATATGTTTTTAAAAAAGCCAGCGGCGTATATCTTTTTGCAAATATCATTATAAGGCTGCCCCCGAGACGCTATTGGAATTTATAATTGAAAACACAAGTGGATGAAGGTGTCATGTAATAAAATCATTGTATGGAGAAAATTGACTTTAAATATTTTTTATTGGAACTTATTACTTTATTAAATTCTTGAATATTTAGTTTAATTAGTTTGCTATTATCTTGTTTTTGCATCGAAGAAATCACAGAATGAAAGAATCACTCCTTAAGGTTAGTTTAATGCAAACATTCAATTAAAAAAAATGTTCCATGACACCTTTTTCCACTTGTGCCTTCAATTATCTTCTAGTTAGTGCTAAGTAAACACCTTATTGCACTGAACAGAACTGCCAAAATTCAACATAATCGGTACAATGATCTTTGAGGTATCAATAAAATAAAATTTTTTTGAAACTTGACACATTGTATCTCGCAAATCAGACTTTTTACGACAAATATTTGTATGATCTTTTCTACTTAAATTAGGTTCAGGTATACACCCTCGTAATTAGGCCTATCATCTGTAAGTAACATCCTGTATATGGGTTTTATAGAGGTAACTGAGAATGTTTATCTGGAGAAACAAAAAAAATGCTGCAAAACCTTTTTATTAATTGTTAATCGCCAATTTTCAAATTTATACTTTACCAAAAAGTGCCTTAACAGAAAATATGAAATCAGTGTCAACATCGAAATCCTTTGTAGTGATTAAAATTGAAAAAAAAAAACAATAATAAAATAATCTACGTTTTATCAAAATCCATAGTGGATACTGAACTTTTGGGGGTTATTGTCATTTCGTATGAGATGCCTAGCAGCGTAGCCGTTGTGTTGTAGCAAATTTGACATACGAGGTCTCATTTTAAATGTCATTTTATCCTATAACACTTTTCTGTAGCCCAATACCTCATACATTTTTGAATATACGCGAAAAAGTGTTTTTCACAAATTTGACATTTAATAAATAAGTTTGTTTTGTTAACAAACTTCTTGCATGTACATTTAAGAATATAATTCCGTTGTAAAAACCATGCATACAATTTTTGTAGTCACCGTTTTTAGCGGGTCAAAGTAAGACTATCAGTATCCCTTCATACAGGGAGTTCCTTAATGATATGCGAATATTTAAGGGTGTGAATCTACATGAAAAATTAATGAAGAACTTCCTGAAACGAGTACGAGGAAGATCACTAGACACTTAAATATTTGCCATCAAATTGTTTGGAGAATTTTAGTGGTTTTTTTGTTATATCCTTACCATATTTTAAAAGTACAGGCATTACTTCCCCTTGATCTTTCAAGGCGTGTGACCTTTTGTCAGTGGTATCGTCAAAAAATTACACAAAATCCGCAATTTGAATCAATGATTCTGTTCACGGACGAAGCTAATTTTTCTCGAAATGCCATTCAGAATTTCCACAATAATCATTTGTGGGCAGAAGAAAATCCCTATGCAGTAACCGAAACCCATTTCCAACACCAATATTTGTGTATGGGCAGGAATTATTGGCAACCACTTTATTGGCCTATTTTTCTTGCCGGGACGACTTGACGGATAGACTTCAATTTTCTTCAACAACAGTTGCCTTTGCTGCTTGATGATGTTTCGTTAGTAATAAAAAACAATATGTGGTACATGCATACTGGTGCATCAGCGCATTTCAGTGTAGCGGTTCGTAATTATTTACAAACTGCTTATACAAATCGTTGGATTGGCCGCGGTGGGCCCCAATAATGGCCACCATGGTCCCCAGACCGCAACGGTTTAGATTTCTTTTTGTGGGGCTATCTTAAGACACTAGTGTACACAAGTGCCACTAACACTTTAGAGGAATTAAGAGAAAGAATAGCTGCAGCTTGTGATAGAATAGGGATATTTCAACGAGTGCGCAATTCCATGAGAAGGAGGGCGGAAGCATGCATACTAAGTGAAAGGGGCCATTTTCAACAATTTTGGTAATCATTTCGTTGGTTTTAATGTCATGTTTATGTTGTCAGTTGTTGTTGTTCATTACCCTTAATGTGTTTAATTCTTACAATTAAATTAATAATTTTGCATGTTAGACAATAGAACGGTTTTTATTTTTTTTACTCAAAAATGGCGCATCGAAGGAAAACAATTCAAGAGAAATTATTTGTTTTAAATTGAACGGGGAATTCAAAAATAATTTTTATTTGGCTAAAAACCATTGGCGTACCATTTTTTTCTTAAAAAATATCGAAGTCAATACCCGCACGCACGCCACTGTTAAAGCTAAACATTATTTTTGCATTGAAAAATATATAATTTTATTAGCTTTCACTACGCACTAAATATCAGTGAAATATCTGAAGCGGTTCTGAAAATATTAATTAATTTCCATTTTTTTCCTAAAACTTCAACACCCCGAGTTTTTGTAAGGAAACATTTTTGTACCATAGTTTATAAAGCAAACTAACATTAATTGTTCATGTAGATTCACACCCTTAAATATTCGCATATCATTAAGGAACACTCTGTATAGAGAAGAAGAATAGCTTGGCTACCTTTCAAATTCCTATGATTCATATCCATCACCTTTCTGGCAGTAATTTGAGATTTGTTAACAAAATGCTTTGCAACTCTTGTCACTTATGGAGTGGTCCATATGACACAACTGTCTGTCCGAGTCAAACTGTACATAATATATGTTTTAATTCTGCTTATTTTACTACGTTTCGGCCACCTACCACGTAATGCCAAGTAATGGCGGTATATTTTCGTTTTCTATCTTCCGTGTGGCAGAGCAATATTTTCAAACCATTGATCAAGATGCGAAATATGCCTTAAGATTAGAATTTAAAATAAAAATATCTCAGAACATTCCCAGCAACGTGATAGAATATTTATAAATATGAGAATTTTTAATAGTTTTCTTTTTTATTCTTATTTAATTTTATTTCAACCTTCCTGCGCAATTGTAATAACATGTAACTTTGACCTTTTTATTCTCGTAAACAGTTGATCATAGGGTGACATTTTGTTGAACCAGAGTGACTGAGAATTTCATTCTGTGCAAAAACGATCCTACCATTCTTTGTGTAGGACTGATAGTTTAATGGGATAACGTTCTTATCAAAATCAGTAGCTTAGATCAGTATTTTAACGATGCAGCTGCCTTCGTGTTATGTCGTAGGTCTCGCAGTGACGTTATGCAAAAAGCGGTGTGAAATTGAAATCCTATTTCACCAGTTTCCATCTCATTTTGACGTATAGTGAGGTGAACAGCAAGCGTATTATTCGATGACATGGACAATAATGAAGCGGGTGTAAGGCTAGTAAAACTTGCTTGTGGTGTTTTTTGGTATGCAACTGAAACTTCCTAAATCAAAGAGTTGTTAGCAAGTACGTACAAAATGAATCTGTAGCGTACAAAAAACCAAAACAAAATACGGCCCTGTCTTCCTGGCGTTGACGGATCCATTAGAAGTATGTGTCATTTGTCGATATGGGGATTTTTGATATATTACTGACCAGCTGTTATTCTACCGTAATGGATACTCGTGAAAAAGACAGTATCTTCTCGAGTAATGGTATTATGGTTTAGTGTCAATAGTTTTATGCTTGTAATCCGGATCTATGCACGCGTACCTTAATAACTCCTTGGTCATATTTCTTTCCAAAGAATCAAATGAACTTACATAATTTTCCATGCTTATAGCTGTCTCTAAAGGAGTTCGTCGCCCTGGTTTTGTTATTGATAAATAGTAGAGACCTCCTGGCAGTCGACAGTACCTCATGATGGGCTTGACATATCTTGGCACTAACTGATCACCACGTTCCATTTCGAAGTCCCATCCAGCCACTTCCTTATTTACGGATTCTGACTAAAGGGTCAGAGCGATCATCTTTTTTATAAAATTCCATCAACTATATCGAAATGCTTATTACTATGAATACGTTAACAATTGTGTGAAGATATGCATAATATTTTTATGCCTAACTATGAATTATATGAGATTTTATCAATGACAAGAAACTCACTGAAGCTTTAAAACGTCCTATAAGGGCGAACGGTTATTTTCCAACTTGACAAAATTGCATTTTTATCGATTAAAATAGATTTTATCCATCTTCCATTTTTTGAAATAGCTCATCTGAAATTCATACATTCTAAGAAAGCTCGCTCAAGCTGTATATATATTGCCCCCTAGAGGAATCAGCCAATAGGAATTATTTCTTTATGTGCGAATTGAATGTAGCCATATACATGATAGATTTTGTAGATTATGAAGTTGAGATAAAGCAAAATATTAAAGTTATACTACCAAGATCGTCATTCCTGGGAGATATAATCACTTTAATGGCTTCATTTGATTTTTTTACACTATCGGAAGAATCGTCTATTAGGAAGAATTCCAACTCGTAAACAGCTTCAAAATGAGGTATCACTTGACTCATACATTTGGAAAAATGTTCCAAATTGGCATGCAGCTGCTCTTTCCCAATTTCAGCTGCCAAAATTGAGCCATGCAATTATTCAGGGTTAACCGGTTTTAATATTAGGAAAAGGGCCCAAAGTAGTAAAATTATGTGTTTTTGCACAGTCGATTGTTGCCAGTATTATTTATAACATTATTGCCCCTACTTTTGTATTTTAACCGTGTGTTACTGTTGGTGATTAGGTGTACTTGATAAGCCTGTTATTGACAGTGTGTGGTGTGTGCGTGATGTGTCAGTTTGACATTTCAGTTGAAGGTGAAAGCATGATAAATGCGTGTCATTGTCATTATTGGATAATATTCAATGGATTCATTTGCTGTACACGCATCATTACGAGTAAAGCTGCTAAACTTGCACCGTGGCACACAGACACAAATGCGACGAACAGTGACGTGTTTACCAGAGGTCAAGCCTGATCTTCAATTCAAAACATTGTGTTTCTTGACTGAACTGTACTAAAAAGTACAAAATACACCTACGAGAACAGGCGCATACAGACGTTCAAGACAAACCGGCTTCAAGTTTTGGGCAGTAGACTTTATGAATACAGGGTGTTTCTTACATGAACCGACAAAAAAAATATGGGTAATTGGGGACGCTATTTGATGATTTTTGGTGGAAACCGTAATGCTCTAAGGGCTATGGCTTTTTTTTGCTGAAATACCTACAATGGCGCAGAGCTATCGTGTTTGTCGAGATAATAACACAAGATAAATTCAAGTCGATTCTGTGTAGCATGAGATGAGATGAGATCAATGGTTTGTACAAAGCTTCTCCATACAATGACTTAAGATCTTCCAAAGTCGTAAAATAGCGCAGAGTGAATAAAAATTAGTTTTATTTACAAAAGTTCTGTGGTTTATTGCGTCTACAACGAGATACTAGACATAGAAATAATATGTTTTGCGGTCGATAAACGAGAAAACTGATTAGGTTCAGGAATAAAAAATTTATTTTTTCAATGTCTCACGTTTTAATTTGATGTTAACATATCCTAAGGTATTTTCAAAATGACTGCCTTCATTTCTGAGACATGCTCGATACCTTGTTCGTATTTCGACGGTTGTTGTGTGAAGCAGGATCTCTTCCTTCATCTGACGAGAAGCAGCTTCAATCCTTTGGATTAGCACCTCTCTGTTGGGCGCCTCTGTCACATACAACAATTCCTTGGCTCGGGCCCAGACGTATAAGTCCAAAGGTGTCATGACTGGAGACCGTGGTGGCCAAGATATAGGACCATCCCTACCAATCCAGGCGTTTGGAAACGCTTTGTCCAAAAACTGTCGAACGGGTTGGACGTAATGTGCGCAGTCTGCAGGAATTCCATGTAACTTTCACCATTTAGCCGGTCTGGCAAAAAATAAGGTCCTATCAGAGTCCGTCCAATAACGCCGGCCCACACGTTGACGCTGAATCGTCTTTGAAATGAGCAGTCTTTTCTTGTGTGGGTTCTGGTCCTGGTCTGCCCAATAGTGTAGGTTGTGCAAATTCGCGATTCCGTCATGGTTGAAGCTGGACTCATCTGTCCACAAGATCCTCTTCAAAGACTGATTCAAATTACATAAAAATGTGTAAAAATAAAAAATCATTAGCTCGACACACTGGTTCCTGTAATTTTGACCACTAAACAAATTACTTCTATGATGTGTAGCATATCGTTGGAAAGGCAAAGAAACACGGAACTTTTTTTAATAAAACTAAGTATCACCAGAGGTATAGTTTTTTTGTAATCGAATTTTGAATTTAAGGTTGTTTAATCACCCCGTGCTATTTTACGACTTTGAAAGGTCATAATTTATTTTATGGAAAAGCTTTGTACAAACCATTGATCTCATCTGATTCAGTATGCTATACAAAATCGACTCGAATTTATCTTGTGTTAGTATTTCGACAAACAAAAAAGTTATCACGATAGTTCTGCGCCATTGTAGGCAATTCAACATTACGGTTTCCACCAAAAATCATCAAATAGCGTTCCCAATTATCCATATTTTTTTGTCGGCTCATATAAGAAACACCCTGTATAGTCTAGATAACGAACAAAACCTCACCAACTCGACTCTATTCATAGTATGAGGTCTGTCGGAATATGACAGCACAAAGTGTATCTATTACCAGAATCGACCACTGCGAAGTGAAAACAGCAAGCAGTCTGTTGGAACTGCATGCCAATTCGCATATCAGTTGGTTCACCAGAATCGGCGGCATCTAGCGGCCACAGTGCTGACCCGGCTGACAATGCCAACTGGCATACAGTCCCAGCAGACAACTCGTTTTCACTTTCGCAGTGGTCGATTCGGTAATAGATGCACGGTAATAGACCTTATACTCTGAATAGAGTAGAGTTGCCCAGCTTTGTTCGTTGTCCACCGAGACCAAGCCTACCTACGCCGTGCTGAAGAGATGCCAAAAGGCACGTTAAACATCTGTCCGTGGTTGGCCATCTGTGGTCAGACGAACGAAAGCTATACTAGTTTATATTATCCTCGCTAGGAAACCGATTTCCTTTTAGCTTCATTTTTACATGCGGAAACAGTGCAAAGTCGCAGGGAGCAAAATTGCCCCTTTGGAATTCTGTGTACCACCTGAGTATAGTCGTACGATGTAGACAGTCTTTCTTTAATGCAAGCGTCATTTCAGCTAAGCACTGGTCTATGCTTGAACCATGCGTAAAGTTATACCGTAAACTGCCCTTATCTCACTACGTGTCCACTCATGGACATGTCTCAACATGCAGTGTCATGCAGACTCCTGCGTCCGTTAGTTAAGTCATATTGCAAAAGTTTTACAGTGCCCTTTGTATGAGTTCATTTCCAAGATTAGTGTGTTATTCCAACCATTATACAAGATAAATACGTATACATCTTTTGACTGGTCTATAGATTAGTATATCGATTTTTTGGGATTAGCATGAATTTTTTTTAATGACATTTTAGGAATGTCAGTGAAATGACAGTGGGCATACTGACACGGCACATGAAACTTTGCAGCATTCTAGGTTTTCCACATGTTTCCTTGTGGGTGAAAATGGTCTTTTCACGATTGTTGGCGGATCACGGTAAAATCGATTTCCATACGAGGACGTTTTTTTCGTAAGCTTAGGCATACGTTTTTTTTTGTTTTATCTCACCGCCTGGAAAATTTGGTCATAAACGTATTTATGCATGCCATTCTGCGAGTTTACCTTTCAGTGATCTTCGATATAAAACAGCCACGCCTGAAGATACAATTACAATGTTAACAGCGTGCATTAAATTCATTGGAGTATTTTGAGAAGGTGAATGCAAAGAACCTATTTAAACAGCCAATTAATGTGTGTGTGCAAGAACGAGTAGCAGCTGAGTTGAGGATCGACTTATGCATTGTGCAGTTTCGCTTAGGAAAGTTAAGCTCCCCACATGTAGTACAGGTATCCGATCTGTTTACTTATTTCGTATGATATCTTGACGTAACCGGATAAACCGTGAAAGGAAACGTACATTGCATTCAAGTGCAATAGGTTATATACTTCACGAAATAGAAGCTGAATTCAATTTAAGGATTTCCATAGAAATGTTCTCACATACATACATATCTAAAAGCCTATACATTATTTTAGTCTGTCATGTTTGACTTGTGGGCCTTTGAACTTGAAAAATGTTTCCGTGTTGGTCTCATTTTGACAGGTAACGTCAGCATGCTATCAGAATTCATGCCTGTGGAGCACTTTATGCGATACAACTTACAAGTGCAGCCTAACAATGCGCTAACCACAGGATTTGCGAACATTGATAAAATACGGACGTACAGAGATGCATGCATTTCTGGACTATTTGTAATTAAGAATCTATTAATCTTTAAGCAATAAAGTATGTCTGTATCATTATCAACTTAACCAATTTAAATTAATGACAATAATAAACATGTATAATTGGCAAACTCTTAATAACTTGACCTGTATTGCAATTTATTATGTTCGAATGTATATTATTGGTTATTACATATAATACTTCCTACCTTGTGTGGAGTAATTACATTTTTGATCTGTTCTCCTAGCTTCGCACCAATCTCAACCCTGTTGAAATACTTGTGAGACATAGACATCGCATAGTACTTCCTGGAGTACTTTGTCAGCGTGCCAGCACCATAGATTTTTGGATCATTGGTTCTGCATTTGTTGTCTATAACTAGACGACCGTCATATACTAAACCGGCTTGATTTATTACCTAAAAGTGTAGAGGTATGAATATATTGCAGAAGCATCTGATTATTAAACTTAGTCGTGCTCAATACATCTAGAACTGGATGGTATAAACGTCCCTTCATCTCTAGAGTCGTGGAAATATTGTATGGAAGCAGTCGCGGATTTGTTTTTGAGGCTGATCGAGTAAACAACGAAGATTCATTGCATGGTTCTTTCTCGTTTTCAAGCCAAAGTCCAGCTTTTCTGTCGAGTTACATTAAAGTCGTTCTTTCGTTTGAACTGTTGTGGAAGAAAGATTCCTCTATACTTGATGGCCTTCAAGCTTGTACTGTCTTTCGGAGTGCCGATTTATAGTTTTAGTTGAAAAAACAATAATAAATAAATCATAATCGATAGTCTCTAAAACGATTTTCCAGTATATGAAGATTATTAATCATGGTCAAATATTCCATTTAAACTAACAGCATATTGAAACGATTTCTAGAAATATTGTAATGTTATAACTTAATTTACATTCTCACTTTGTATACTCTGGAATGGATTTCCTTTTCTGCAAAATAGAACATCGCCATGCATTCCAGTTCAAGCATGTGGTGCCTTGACTCGAACTTCGCCATCGTGATCACGTTTTCGCTTGGGTCAAATTCCCAGTCGATGAAGTAGTAAGATTGGTAGACCTATTTGACACATAAAATAATTCAATTGAAGTTCTTTTACGAAGGTTTTGGTAGTCCAGATTTTCGCGATTCATAGACTGCAAAAAGGCTAAGTTTGATCTGATGTAATAATTGGAAAACACGGATAAGGACAGTTTCCACATAAGCAACATTTACTTCCGTCAGTACGAGATATGGAATTAAAAAGTATGATATTATTGAATCGAATATTGAAAACAATTTAAATATGTTAATAAAAAAATATCAAAAATAACACAAGGAGGGGTGGGAGCACACACGTTTTTGCGTTCATGTAGTATCTATACATACAGGGTGTCAAGTTAGTAGTGGATCAACGGCAGTCAGATGATAGAGTGCCCCAAAACTCATCGAATGAACCACTATATGTGTGGTCCGAATTTTTATAGTTCAGTTGCAAATTTGTGAAATTTGGAAAAAAGCGTGATAATAAACTTTCAATCGCAATCACAACTAAACTAACTATTTCAATCCATGTGGAATAAACCCTGAAAATTTCAGCTTTTCTCGATGAGTGTATCATGTCAACCTCGTTGTTGTGATGCGGTAAACGTAAGAAACGCAATAGAATCCTTACCAACTACAAGTTCAGAACCTATTGTGTTTAGCCGCTCTTTATGGCGATTTACCGACAAATGTGGAAAATAATTTAATTTCACTAACTTTTAAAGAACATGTTCGGAATGGCCTCCATTGTTTATACACAAGCGACACCTAATAAAATTGTCCTTTAGTCTTTGAAATGAATTTGCGTATTCCATAATTTTTATGTTTGCTTCATCAATTTTCTGGCGCAGTTGGTTGACATTTGTATATTTAGATGTATAGATTATCCTCTTATAACATCCCCATATAAAAAATCTAGAGGGTTTAAGTCGGGTGACCTTGTGTCCTCCTCTACCTATCCAACGCCCAGGAATGACACACAACATGCAAAGTGGCATGGGGCACCATCGCATTGAAAATACATGCGGCTTCGAACATACAAAGGTATGTACATCCTCTAGCAGCTCATGCAAACTGCGTTGTAGAAAAGCAAGATATGACTGACCATTCAACCGAGGCGGGCAATTCATATGGTCCAATTAATTTTTTGTTGAGTACTTCAGCCCATAAATTAAAGCCGAACTGACGTTGAAAGCTGTGTCGGCGAATAGCGTGTAGATCTTCCACGCTCCATGAATGGAAATTGAGCATGTTGAATATTTCGATTATTGTTGGATTTTTCTTTCCATAAGATGCTGCCGAAAAAAGTTTCATCCTCTTCGCACCTTCTCAACATATTTTCACAAAATTCAACCTGTTGTGCATAATCGCTTGGAAGCAATTCTTGTACTTTCTTTTATTCTCCGAGCATAGTAAGCGATATGTTTCTGCTTCGGGCAATGGTTCTGGTGCTTATAGAGAGACCTCTCTCGGCTGCTTCTATCATATCTTCTATTTCTTGTGGGCGTATCCTCGGCGCTCCTAGCTGACGATGAGTGCTTAGTATGCGGCCCTCCATATACACGTAGAAAAACGCGGTAGTAGGGATATACCGCCGGTTCTGGGGCACCTTTTCTAACCACATACTCCCGATACATACGAGCAGCTGCTCGAGCATTTTCTAGGGCAGCACCATAATAGTGATGCATATCTGTATAATCTCATGGAGAATTTGACATGGTTCTACTCAGATGTCAAACGTTAAACCTTGGCCACACGTACAAGCGTCACCACGGTCTCGCGCAAACCAAAAAGTGCGGCTTGTGTGAAAGTCGCTCTGCTGAAAGTGTTACTTGAGCAAATCTCTTTATGCAGTTAAACTTGTAAGTGTGGACAGCGTGCAGGTAAAATGGCCGACTTACGTACCTGTTCTAAACAATTTATTACAGATTTTATTGACTTATATCGTTCATTATCATGGAAAATAAAATCAAAATTCTATACTGATTGAAGTAAAAAAAATGAAGCATAAGTAAAATTAAAAGAGGTTTATCACCAGGGTATAGATTTCAACCTAAGTACGTTTTGTATACAGGTGTCGGTGTTTGTATCTGACTGTATTTATAGTTTTTTGCAACTTTTATTGAAATAAGGGTTTACCAGACAGTATAAAAATCCACTCAAACCAAACAATTCATCATTTGGCACCATTGTTCAAAAATAATTGACCAGTATCGATCTCTTCGACGATTTTAACTACAATGAGGTTTGTGCAAACTTACTTGCATCGTGTGGCCATCCTGTGGTGTTCCATCTTTATCGCGCAAACTAGACCGTACAAGTAAGTCACTGTCGTGTGGGCCTTTAGATACAAATTCCGTGCTGGACCATTGTCTGACTTAGTAATTTCGGTCGGACCGAACTGAACGCTCCCGCACCTGGAATGCCTAGTTGAATGCCCAAGCTCATTAAGCTGATTTGGCTATTTGCGTAAAAAATCCGCTATTCAGATTTTAAAAAATGTTAATACACACAGTATCACTCACACTGCTAGGACGAATCAAACAGTACCTCATAGTAATTTGGACTGTAGCTCATAGAATAGAATTTTTTGTTTACATGTATAGATACCCACCTGCGTCCAACATTCATATTTTTTCAGGTGACGCACTTATCGTAGCAAGCTAAAATTGTTTAGGGTTTATTCTACATGGATTGAAATAGCTTTTACAATAAAATAAATAATGAAATACAATCTAATTTTTTTTACCGCGCTCCAAAGTTGAGGGATGGAAGAGATTTTTCACAAAAAAATGAATTTAAGAGTTTTTGCGTTGATTTCTAATAAGCTCTGTTAAGAAGTGACATAACCATTGCTAAAAGCTTATCTCAGAAAAAAAATCACATCCTTAAACCTAATAGTTCAGTTGTAATTGCGATTGAAAGTTCACTGTCCCGTTTTTTAGAAATTTTACAAAATTGCACATATCTCCTGAACTATAAAATTCCGGACCACACATATAGGGGTTCATTCGATAGGTTTTGTGGCCCTATGACACCTGACTTCCGTTTATTCACTACTAACTTCACACGCTGTATATCTATAATGAAAATACCGATTTTATGAATATTTATAAACATTTGCGGCCTGGATCATTCATAACGCGTCCGATTAGAGCAACACGTTTAATTATTTTGGTTTGGGGAATCGAATCCAAATTGTCGAGTTTTATTTTTAAACTCCGTGGTTTGTTGGTATAGACAGTACTGATGGTTGGAATTATCGAAGGTTTACGTGAGAGTTTATAAAAAAAACTCTGTGGCTTTAACAAGATAAAACTGCCGCTCACTCTTGAAGTAAGTAAGTCAATAGCTCTGTTAAAGGGGTTTTAGAGGACCACATAATTTGCTAATTTATCATCCGCATTCAACCCACTCAACCACGCCTGGGCTCTTCGTTTGTGCATATTTGAAGGAATATGTGCATATGAAGAGTCCAAAAAACAGTGGTTATTCAAAAGACAATACTTGTAATCAGATCATTATGCGTATCAGATAGAGAATGTCAATATTAATTCTGTGAGCAATATTAGGGACCTGGATGTTACACTAGATACGAAATGGAGCTTTAAAAGCCATATAGATGAAACCATAAATAAAACGAATAAGATGCTTGACTTCATTAGAAGAAACTCTAGATAATTCAACAACCCTGCTACACTGTGATCACTATATTATGTGTTTATACATAGTAACTTGTCTTTTGCCTCTATTTGGAACCCACAGTACGAAGTCTACATAAGGAGAATTAAGTCTGTCCATTATACATTCATGCGAATTCTGGCTTAAAATGCGAGTGAAATTGTTCATAATCACGATTATAGCTTGGTTGGAATATTTCATAATCTTACCTCTGATTAAGAGAAGGGTATTATCCTATTTATGTTTTCTCCGCAGAATCTTGAACAATCAAACTGACTGCTTTTAGCTTTAATCGAAAATCAATATGAATATACCGATAAGAGTGAATCCTAGACACTGTAAATACTTCATTATTTCGTTTTGTAGAACTAATATTGGTTTAAACTGTCCACTGGTACGAATGCAAAGAAATCTGAACAACTATGGTAAATTTGCTAACATTTTTGCTTGTGAAATGTTAAGTTCAAATACTTGATAAAAACAGAATGTTGGTCACTGTGGTTCTGTTTTATTTTTCTTCTTTACCGAATTGAATATTATACCATTTTATTTTCATATATGTAGATTATAAATAATAATGCTTATAACTAACTGTATTGTGGATGTCTATTTTGAAGATTTTCCCAGATTGATGTCCGTAATTTGTTAAATAAATAAATAAATAGGAGTCATAGCGTCCGAAATCTTGCTGAAATTTATGGAAAACTTTATAGAGGAACACGAATAGTTTGAGCAGAATGTGGTTACGTTTATAACTACTACCTACTATTTTAGAACAAATTCATTTTAATTGTCGCTCAAATAGCGTTAAACGATTTGAACGTCACTTGTATGAATATTTTTGAACCCATACGTAATTATGGATTTGCTGAGAACATACATCTAATTTCGAAAACATTTGAGAAATTTTGAAATAATTTTTAACAGCTCAAATTCAGAAAATATTGAAGAAGTTTACAAGTGCGATCTTAATGCTTAGTCTAAGAAATAATTAGCTACAAAAACCATCTTGTGACCTGTATGCCCTCTGCCCTGATGTGATCGTAGACCGCTTCGTCGATATCAGGATCATTGTAAATCGATACTTTGTGTCTTTGTCGTTTTTCGAGAGCCATGCAATAAGGAAAGGGCTCCACAAGGACTAGATTCTTTCCTGGGATGCCGAACATCAATAGTCCATTCAACGTGGTGTGTGCTTGTAGAAAGTGGCCGAATACTATGATGGTATCTGGAACGTTAAAATATTGTTATATTATATTAAGGATACAGTATGTCATGATAGTTTGCATTCGTTTTCGTAATGCTATAATGAGAGATAAGAAAAATGAACATACGTTTTCCTGGAAAAAACATTACTTGCGGATGGCCCTTCAGAGTTAACGTAGTTGAGGACGCTCGTCAACCTATTTGGTTATTTGGTTCCGATAATGGGCTGTGAAGGTACTTTTTGACTGTTAATGAAATATACCGATTTCCGTACGACCGGAATATATTTATAGGATGACCTGAATTGATGATCAAAGGTATTTATAACAATAATTTAGGATTTCCAACTAAAATTGAAATAATACCACACCTCACGAGGTTGTCTGTTAGTCTCTCTGCATAGTGGCAAGTACATACCTCCTTTATATCACGTCCTCATGAACTGCGATATGCATCATCTGTGTCACGTATAGCCTGTAATCTCTCATTTTCAAAAATAAAAAAGAAACTTGATCCTGATGGACTATTTAGGTTGGGATATCTCAGGACGAAATTATGAGAAGTATCGCAAAATAACCGTCGCGAAGAATGCAAAATTTCATAAAGGAAATCAACATCATTAAATAACGTTGAATGAAAAATAATCTAAGTGAATAAAACAATAATAATTAAAACATGTAGTGATAAGATTACCTTAACCTTATTCTATTTAAAAGAAACTTACAGTCTCGATCGCCATAGTTGGCATGCAGTTGTTTCAACTTCATAACAGCATTGTTGGCTTCGATAGCATTGTTGATGACGAAGACGTTATCTGGCTTCTCCACGAATGGAGTTCTGTTCTGCCTGATTGGTTGAAGAAACTGTTCTCCGTTCATCAGGAACAGCATATCATACGATATGAAACTATTGTTGTTAATCACCAGGATTTGATCTTGAAATTCATAGGTATATGATTAATATAAGATTGTTATCAAAACTCTGGTATTCGTTTAAATTATTTGTCGTTGGATTGACACCACTGCGTTGGAAGTTCAGAATTATACCGCTTGATGCTATTCTACTTCCTACGCGACTGGCGAGGAAGTATTCCATTAATCTCGAAACATTTTGAAAATGGGTTATCATGTTTTTTTGGATGCTATATTCCAGGTACCACATCACGAAAAAACATGTCACTCATTTCCCTCGGTCTGTCTGTCGCTAATCCTTGGCCCGGCTATGACTTGGACAGTAGATTTTGATGAATTTTTTACACGAGATTACTACTATGCCATGGACGAAAGAGCTTTGGCAGCGATGATCCAAACAAAGAAAAGGTATAAATCGACCAAACTACGTTTTTTTAACATTTCAGAAACTTTTTTGCACGGTTTAAGAATCAGGGGTTGTGGGCTGTATGGGTGAGGGAGGGTAGATCTCAGTTTTTTGGCTTTAGTATATTTATACGCTTCTAACCCACGTAATTCCACGTACTTATTAGGCATAAAGTCTGAAACATATGTGCAATTCTTCAATTCATTTGAAAACATTTTAGATAATGATGTGGATGTGATAATTATAGGAGATTTTAACCTACCATTTTACGTAACACAAGGCTGTGAAAATAGCAAGTTGTTGAATAATTTTACGAGTTTATACAATTTGCATCAGATTAATACTGTGCTTAATGTAAAATAAAGGCAACTTGATCTTATACTGTCAAATATGTCTATAGTTAACATAGAAAAATGTGAAGACCCACTTCTAGATGAGGATCCGCACCATCCTGCCCTGAATATGTTTATATTATTTAAAAATAAAACTAGTTATGTTTACAGTCAGCCTGAATATATCTATGATTACTCGAAAGGAGAATTTTATAAGTTATACAATCTGTTAGAAGATGTTGACTGGTCAGATCTTCAGAAATCTGAAGATGTGAATATATGTACTGACTTATTCTATGGAAAGCTTTATGGATGTTTAGACCAAGCGATACCCAAAAAAGCAGTGAATAGAGCCACGTATAATGGTGGCAATTATCCAATTTACTTTTCCGTGGCACTGAAGAAAACATTAAATTAAAAACTCGGATTCACCGACAAATTAAGAACGGTAAAGCTAGCTTAGAGGTTAAACAAAAAATTACAGTAGCTTAAGAACCACAATCAAGCACCAAACTGCAAAAGAATGTCAGGCCTATTATGAGACAATTGAACATAATGTCAACAGTGACCCCAGCAGCTTTTGGGACTTCGTAAGGTGCAAGCGTGCAAAGCCTGGGATTCCTTCAGATGTTATGTATGAGGGTTGTGCATTAGTGGCCCCAGGAGATCCGATACATTTGCATTGTATTTTGGATCAGTATTTTAACAGTCTGAAAAGCCAAATGCATAGCTTCATCTGGGGTGCCGCAAGGTAGTAACCTTGGTCCTTTGATATTCTGTATTTTATTAACGACTCACCAAACTGCATAAACAGTTCAGAATACTCCTGTATGCTGATGACTTTAAAATATTTAAGCCCATAACATCATCTAAGGATTGTCATGAACTACAGAAGGAATTAGAATTGGTATCCAATTGGTTTCACGAAAATAAGATGTGGTAAATATCGATAAATGCCATCTTTTAACTCTTACACATAAAAACAATACATAAATTTTACAAACACGATTGAAAATGTACAGCTAGGCAGAGAAAGCACATGCAAGGATCTTGGCGTCTACTTCCAAACAAACTTAACATTTATCCAGCATTATGAAAACATTGTGAATAATCTTATAAACTCCTTGGATTCATAATTAGGCCATACAAGACATTTCAAGGATAGAAATACAATAATAACTTTGTACAATACTCTAGAGAGACCTAATTTAGAATATGCATCAACTACGTATTTGGTCACCACAAACAATGCCATATCGAAATGATTGAGAGAGTGCAAAAGAGACTTCTCAGATATTTGTATTCTAAAAAATATATTATATATCCTTTTATCACCCCATATAGATATGTTGAATGAATTTAAAATGGTCGAATTAAGCGATAGACGCGTAGACCACGTTTGAGTGATGTTTTATTCCTCTACAATGTCACTAGCAACCTAAAGTATGAGAAATGTGACTTATATTAATATGTATTATTTGTAGTTCCTAAAGTTAAATAAGAATAAGAAAAAACAAATTGTCCAGTTTCAAAAGTTAAGTATCTCTCCTATAAATAGGATGATGTACGAATGTACATTCTTATGCAACGGTGTGATTTAGACATCAGTAGGATAAATCAAGGCTGTGTTTCTAGACAGCACACTGCTTGATGCCATTGGTATTATATACTATTTAAATATAATATATATTTTATCTCTGTTTTGCATTTTTAAACTGTTGTTTTGCCTTTGTAAGTTATTTTTAGTAGGGGCTCCTCCATTTAAAATATTTGTATGTGTTTGTAGGAGGGTAAATAAATAACTATTCACATATAAATTTCCTCGCACATTTGCTTTTAAGACTCAAAATAGAAATATTTCAACTCCGCTTGTGCCAAGTGCAAGAAAAAGCACTACATATAAAGTTTCCCATTTTTCTGAACACGATAAACTTAAAAAACTACCCAACGAATTTTAAAACGGTTTTCACCAGTGGTTAGAGGGATTCATGAGGAAGCTTTAGATGTATAATTTATTGAAGTTTTTTTGTAAATGGACTGAAAGATGACGGATTTGTTAGCCAAGATATAAAAATTTGACCATAAAAATTCATTAACTGGCGTATGCTGAAAAGCCAACTAATGTTACATAAAAAAAAGTACTACATATGAGCCTATTTGATTTACAAAAAAGTCCGCGTCGCTATGTGCATAATTATTACTTAACTCAAAATAGCCGATTGTCAGTCAAATTGGTCAACCACGTGTAAGTCAACTCTCGACAACACAGAGCGCTTGGGCAAAGAGCGAGCAACTTGTAAGTGGTAGAGTAGTTACAGTTGACTGCTTTTCGTGGTAGATCGGGGTTCGATCCCATGGGAGGGGATTCTTTTGTTTCTGGATGTGCTGTTTTGGGCATACAAAATCTATACTTGTGTTCCTTTTTACACATCATCCAGCACCGTCAAGGAGTATACGAGTATATGTTTATAATGGGTGATTTTTTTGCTAGTATCTTTTTGGCAACACTGTTTTGACAAATGACGCGTGAATCGTGTCTTGTGTCATTGTCAAACTTGTTTAGTTTGGGTCTATAATTTAACCCGTGAATCGACTTACGAACGAACAACGCTTGCAAATTATGATGATTTTACTATCAAAATTCATGCTTGGTTACGAGAGTGCATCGAGCACTGCTTCCAACTTATGGGCAATTTGGTCGCCTACTGAGGGAGCTATTCGGAAGCTTGTGACTAAATTTCGAACCCATTTTACATTATTGGACATTAAACCACCAACACGCAGACGTAGAGTGAGGACTGAAGAAAATATTGCGGCTGTATCCGCCAGTGTTAGTGATGACCGTGAAATGTCGATTCGCCGCCGTTCGCAGGAATTGGGCCTCTGTTACTCCACTACGTGGAAAATTTTGCGTCAGGATTTGGGTGTAAAAGTTTTTAAGATACAGCTGGTGCAAGAATTAAAGACACACGACCTCCCACAACGTTTCCAATTTGGTGAATGGGCGCTGGCAAAGTTGGAGGAAGATCCACATTTTTATCGAAAAATTGTGTTCAGCGACGAAGCTCATTTCTGGTTGAATGGGTACGTTAACAAGCAAAATTGCCGCACCTGGAGTGAAGACCAGCCAGAAGCATTGCAAGAGCTACCAATGCATCCCAAAAAAATCACTGTTTGGTGTGGATTATGGGCCGGTGGCATCATCGGGCCGTACTTCTTCAAAGACGACAATGGCCGGAACGTAACTGTGAATGGCGAGCGCTACCGTGCGATGATAACAAACTTTTTTTTGCCCAAAATGGAAGAGCTGGACTTGGCTGACATGTGGTTTCAACAAGATGGTGCCACATGCCACACCGCACACCAAACAATGGCCCTATTGAGAGGCGAGTTCGGTAACAGTTTATCTCACGTTTGGGGCCCGTCAATTGGCCTCCTAGATCGTGTGATTTAACGCCGTTGGACTATTTCTTGTGGGGCCATGTTAAGGCTAATGTCTACAGGGATAAACAGCAACGATTGACGCACTGGAAGCCAATATTGAAGTATTTATTCGTGAGATACCGGCCGATATGTTGGAGACAGTGTGCCAAAATTGGACCTTGCGCATGGGCCATCTAAAGCGGAGCCGCGGCCAACATTTACATGAAATAATCTTTAAACATTAAATTATATCGACCGTTCTATCGTCTTAAATAAAGATTTAATCGTTTTTTCAAATTTTTTGTGTTTTTTTTTAAAATCAAATCCTATACCTCTTAAAAAATCACCCGTTATAACAGTGGCGAAGCGTGACTTTTTCTAAACTGTTATCAAAACCAGATGTGAATGATCTTGTTAAAAAACGTTTATTTGAACCTACCAAAGTTTTTGCTTACTTTAGGTATTTTATTTAAACTTTTTTAATTAAAGTAAACATTGCTGAACTGGGCGTCTGGGGCACTTGATATACCTCATCGTCTTCTGCTATGACTAATCCAAGCCTTCCGAAAAAAAACAATTGACGTTTCTAGATGTTCGGAAAATTTTTGAGCTTTTTTGGCAATTAATGTTAACAACTCTCTGTAATTTCAACTATTGTCAGAGTCATCCCCTTCAAAATGACCCCGAAATGGTAATTCTTGCTTGGCCAAAAAACATACGGCATCTATAAGAGGGCTGCTTAAAAGCTTGGTTAAGACAACTTTCGATTCTTGTTTTGCCAAACTGAATCGAATTGGCTACACATCTCACATGTAACGGAGACATTTCATGTCTCCTCTTTAGAACCCTAAGACTATTTAAATCGTTGACTCCGCTGCTGGTTCACCCATTTTTTTCTGTAGAAAACAGAAGACATGGCCAACAATACAATCTGTTTTTCTTGCAGCCCCATAACCAAGAGTTTTCACTATACGAACTTAATTTAAAATATCGAATTACTTTTTTTATTTCTATTTAAAATTATGTAAAATAGGTGTTGGTCTTTATTTTCAATGATCTCCTTTTTTTTCTTCAAAATTATATAAGAAGAATGACTTTTTAAGTAGTTGATCGATCACGCAGTGACATTCATCTGTTTAATTGCACGCACACTACAGCCGGTAACCAAAACGGCTACTTACGGTAACAAAAATGGCTACGAACGAATGAGAAGTGAGTAACCAAAACAAAAAGTGGTAACAAGCCCACATAATAGTCGCAGCGGCCCACGCACTCTGGCGACCGCGATCAGACACGAGCCGGCACCGACGGTCCCCGACGGACTAACAAGTGTATCCATAAACGAAAATGGTAACAACCGACAACCAAGTCGAGGCGAGTCAGCTTCATCGCGCGTTCACAAAATCTAGACATTATAGGGCGCATTATTTTCTTACGGCTAATTTGGCATTTACTGAAGTACTATTACATATTGCTGTTGGTAAACATATAAATGAAATTATTTCACAGTACTTAGTCATAAAATATTTATTTTCAAGATTTTTATCTGTTACCAATGGTAACAATGGTTACATGGACGCTTCGCCACTGTTATATATCTATTCTTTATGTTTTTAAATTTTTACCAGATCAGAAATAAAATATAAAAAAATTATCCAAGTAAAGAAGATTTAGATCGCAACATTGTCTAATGGATGGGGACTAATTGTATGACCCTATTTGACCGATTGAATCCATTTAGTTGGCTTGTTATACATGATCGTTCTTAACTTTTTCCCAACTTGTGCAGTACATGGTCTTTCATAAACTGATGGCAGCATTGCGTATGAGAGTCCTACCTGCTTGATGCCATTTTTTTGCAGACATTGTGTTACGACTCTGCTCAACCGAATCCATTTACTAATAAAATCCTTGAGACACATACAAAAAAAATACATAACGTTGAAACAGTTTGACTAATAAACCAAATATTTTTGCAACATAGCCTACTAAGGCTACTTGCGTTAGTGTTAACAACATTCATCAATTAAGCATCTGCAAATGTACCAGGAGCGGAACATAGGGATCAACCATCGTATCTAGCCCCCCCCTCCAGCACAGTATCATTGTTCTGTTTACCTACTTTTCTTGTCTATCTTGGAAACCTTCCCAGATATGACGTTTACATATGTCTTCAAGCTAATCATATCCATATGTCGTGGATCCATGAAGTATTTCTTGATCAGAAATGCGTCCCTGATTCGGCTGCCTACTTTAGAAGCCGCCATACCGCTTGCACAAATCAGTGTTACGTTGTTGAAGGTTACCTATCGAAAAATCATGGAATCACAATGAACATATCTTATTGTCTTAGCCAACAAACGGTAATACAAAAGTAACTTCGAGGTATGGAATTTATGAAATGGAGTATATATAGTCTTGAGCACATGAGACAACTATTACATTTTGACTATTGTAATAACGATTTTGTGTTTTTTGGATGTTATATGACATGTACTTCACGAAAAACCATGTCCCTCATTTCAGCCGACCTTTCACTCACGGTAAAGATACTATCATACCTACCATATCATTTGGATCTTGTTTGCACAACAAAGTCTCCAGAAATGATAGTGCTGTATTACTACAACCTACGACCACTATTCTTGTATTTACTGCATGCCTATTGACGCTACAGTTCGGAACTGTTGATAGGTACAATGCAAATGGTTCTTGATCTTCGACGATTAATTTGCTTGGAGCACATTCTGAAAAAAATGACAAGATACTTAATATGTATTTATATGGCTAAAAGCTCAAATCTTAGGCCTTGGGTGGACGTGTGAGAGCTTTTCGAGTGGTGTTACCTGTTAAGCCTGTGGTCAGGTTGAAAATGTTCATTTCCCAAAAATATCTTTTGACTTTCTGCAGATAACTTGATATAAAGGAAATTTCTGCCTATCCTACCCTGTGTGCATATTTGGTTGGGTAGTAGACATTTCTTTCTACACGATTTCATCAGACGTTATTTGGAAGTAATATTGCAGGGTAGGACTTGCTGATAGAAAGAAGCTTGTGTACTGTGAAATCGGGGGTAAATCTACTTAATGTAATTTTCCATTTGACTTCACAAGAATTTCGTAATTATTCCTTGGAATTGGGATATATTGGCATATTTTAAACAATGCCAACTTTTAAAGTCGTTCTCAGGTCAAAAAGTTGTTGTTTTCTCGATTTTAAATAAACATATATCAAACCCTCGCA